GTTAAATAAAATAAAAACAAATTAGTGAGGGACCCATTTGTGCACTGCTGGTGGGAATGTAAATTGGTACAGCCACTATGGAAACTAGTATGGAGGTTCCCCAAAAATTAAAAATAGAACTACCATATGATCCAGCAATTCCACTTCTAAGACATAGAAACCATCAAAGTGTCTATCAATGAATAAATGATTTAAAGAATGTGATATTAGAATGTCATTCAGCCATAAAAAGAAAATGTCTTGTCATTTACAACAATATGGATGGACTTTCAGGGTGTTATGCTAAGTGAAATAAGTCAGAGAAAGACAAATACTGTATGACCTCACTTGTATGTGGAATCTAAAAAAAACAAACTCATAGATATAGAGAACAGATTGGTGCTTGCCAGAGGCTGGGGGTGGGGGGCGGGGTGAAATGGATGAAGGTGGTTAAAAGGTACCAACTTCCAATTAAAAATACATAAATCCTGGGGGTATAATGTATGATATGGTGACTATAGTTAAATTTTTTAAACCCAAAAATAAAAATACGAAACCAAATACAATTTAGTGAGGCAATTAAGGGATTAAAAAATGAGAATTGTCTTGAAGATAATGTAGATAGCAATGAGATTAGTGTGCAAAATGCATCTATAGAGTACTGAAAATTGGATGGAAAACATTCAACTCCCCCATTTTTAGTATCAACATGAAGAGAGAAATATGGTGACTTACATGATTCAATGTTTGTTGGATAAAACAAAACAGGGCTCAGAAGAAGGTCTAACTATTCCTGGTTCTGAGATCCTGCAATCACAATTTCTAAGAATCTTCATAGAAAGAATGCTGTTTAAATGTAGTAAACAACAAAACTTGTTCAATTCAGCAAATGTTTATTGAGCATCTGTGATGGTTACTTGTACCTCTCAACTTGGCTGGGCCATGGTGTCCAAACATGTAGTCAAACATGATTCAGGATGTTTCTGTGAGATGCTTCTGGATGAGGTTAACATTTAAATCTGTGGACTTTGAGTAAAGCAGATTGCCCTCCCTAACGTGGGTGAGCTTCATCCAATTAGTTGAAGACCTGAATAGAATTAAAGACTGATCTAAAAGACTGACTGCTTTCTCTCTCTCTCTGTCTCTCTCTCGCTCTCTTTCTCTCTCTCTGTCTCCGTCTCTGTCTCTCTCTCTTTCTCTCTCTTCTGTTTTTTTGGAGAAATCTGACCAATACAGCATCTATATAGTAGAAACCTTTTCAGTGTCTGCCCCTCCTCCACTCTCCACTATCAAACCATAAGGTCACAGGTGGACCCTCTGTTATTACACAACCCTCACCTCTTAGACTCAGCTGACTAAACAGTCTCTTCCCAATGATTTGGAACTGGGGTTAAGAGAGACTAGTGTCTATTACTTAAATGGAGAAAATGTAACCATTAAGGAGTGTTGTGTAGCTACTGTCCACAGAACAGAGGAGCAGAAAAAGACATTAAAAGACAAAGAAAAAAGAACCCCAGAGATGAGAGACAAAGAGAGCACTTGCTTCCTGAAGACAGCTTCATTCTCACCCTAGAATACTCCTTATGATAAATTCTCCGTTGTTTAATTAAACTTGAGTTTGTTTCTATTACTTGCTACCAAAATATCCTAACTAACATAACCTAGTGTGTGAGACAATTGTCGGCCACTAGAAATTCAGAGATAAAAAAAGATATGGTGCCCATCCCACTACCCTAACTCCCCACCAAAAAAAAAAGACATGATTGCTTCCTGCAAGAAATTTTTTAGTTGTTCCCAAAGGGAGAGGTATCCATATAAGAAGATAAAAGAGATACAGTATAGCCAGTGAAGTGATATTTAGTATGGCCAGATTCAGAAAACAAAAACAAAAACAGGATGCCTGGTTAAATTCGAATTTCAGATAACAATGAACTTTTTTTAGTATGAGCGTTTCCCAAATATTTCCCAAATATCTGGCTACCGTGAAGATATACTGTCTACAGATGTTAGAGAAGGGGGACTTAACCCAAACTGAGGTTACTCAGAAATCTAATTTTATTTATTTAGTTAGTTAGTTAGTTAGTTAGTTAGTTCTTTCACGGAGAAAAGAATATTTGGGTAGAATTTTGAAGGATGAACAAAGTTGGGCAGAATATTTGAGAAAGAGAAAACCATGTGACCAAAGGCACAACAGCATGACATTGCAGTGTGTGTGTAGAGAACTCATGCATTTTACTATCACTGAAGCTCACAAGTGCCAGGCAATGAGATTAAAAATGTCAGTAAATGTATGGGATTAAGATGACACACTAAACACAAACAATGATTTCCCTTCCTGTGTATACACTTATCGAAATGTCAGGAAAGATATTTTAAAAGCAGTAATTCATAATGACACCATAAATTTAGAAGGGCTGTTGGCAGCAGATAAAAGAGTTGAAGGATTTCTGGAAAATAGGACATTTATAGCATCAGATTAACAAAGAAACGAGTTGGAGAAACTCGTCAAAATACAAACAGGAGAAAGTCACTTCAGTAATATTTCATGAGAAAGAACAGATTATCCTTTTAAAAAGCCTGTTTATTGTATTGTCAATAAATAAAAGAAAAGAGAAGAGCCTGGATGCATCTTTATGATAATTATCAAGTGATCTGACTTGGAACAGAAGGATCTGTTGGATCCCTCTTCCCGCCCCATTTGCTAGCCCACAGTTTGCTCCCAGAATAAAGGCCTAAGAATGTTTTTCTCTAAGTATGGCAAGGAAGGCCTTAGAGTTAGAGTTAGAATTATCATGGATAGTTGGGTCAAAGAGCAAAGTATGGAAGAGCCAGAGGTAACTTTGGCCAAGACTATAGAGACTGAAAATTCCAAACTAAAGTCATGAGTACTGTTCTTTAAGGAGAAAGAGAGAACTGTGTTTCAGAAGGTAAGTAGAAGTCCTCAGTAAGTATAAGGTGCCATCATAGCCACAAGGCACGCCCTCTCTCTCTCTCTCAATCCCCCTTGATAGATAGATGATAGATAGATGATAGATTAGATAGATGATAGTTAGATAGATATAGATATGTATATTTATGTCCTATATATAGATATACATGTACTAAGTATATTTAATCTTTCTACCTTGACAAATATTCTTTCATAAAAAAATTTCAAAGTATACAAAGCCATGGTTTTGCAAAATACCAATGATGTCAGATTTTAATTAATATTGCACCTTTCTGGATATTCTGTTGATGGACCAATCATGTTTAAATGTGTAAAAACAAAAATCTATAATTCGTAAATTATTATATTTTCATTCCACAACATTTTTCTTGATCATTTTGGCAAAATCATTAACTATATTGTTATAATCAAGGTTTTCACATAATTTGCATTCTACTGACAATAATTATCAGAGAAATTAAAAATAAAATGTAATATTTAAAATGTACTTTAAATATTTAAAAAATTTAAAGTTTTTATCAAAATGTGTAAAGTAAATGTGAAAATTATGTTTTCATATAAATGTTCAAAAGTTTTAATTTCTGAGATTTTAAAAATTATTAAAATTAAATAACTATAAATTAAAGTTAATGAATATTAAATTTTTGAAGCTGAAATTTAAATTTAATTAAAATTTTAAAATTTAAATGTAATTAAGTTTTAAATACACGAAGAGTTGGTCTTAAATTTAGTTTTCATTGTCCATATAGTTACCAATGGAATCAACATCATGCTACATGTCCATTATGTCTAAATTTAAGAATAATATGAATTATTTAGTATTGCAAAATCTTATTCAGCTGTCATGTACAATTGTTTCAAATATTGAGCTAATACAAGAAAATCTCCAGATCCACAAAGGCCAGCAAGAAAATGGATGCTCAGCCCTCTTAGAAAATAATCCTTCATTATGCAAGAAACTGTTGTATTTATCTTGAGAGGAAGGATTTGTTACAATAATTAATTTGTATTTTCTCTTTCTTCAATGTTTCTGCCCCTCCAATTCTCCCTACTGAAACAACACCCATTTCTGAAATTGATAGGGCACAATTCACAAACCTTAACGGCATTTGGACAGGACCGTTTCATGGACATGGGATGAGGAAAAGTGTTTGAGGCTTGAACAGTGTTAGCATGAGAACAGATGTTTAGGGATGCAGATCTTACTGTGCCAGGGCTGAATGCCTATCCTCAGTAGAAAAAGCATCTATGTATTCTTTAATAACTTATTTTTGTGCACAGTCTTTTATGCCCAGGTCTCAGAGTGTGATTGCCCCATGCTTCACCTTGTCGCCTGACCAGCTTTCACCTGCAATCATCAGAAATAGTTTTCTGTGATCAAAACTTCAATCCACTGATATATAACCAGAGTCTCACTTTGAGCATAGAAATAAGCTGTTTAATCGAGACCCAGACAAGAAAGAAAAATAAAACAAAGCAAGAACCACCAAATACTTAAAGAAAATCAATAATGTGAAAGAGGGACCAAATGCAACACATAAGAGAATTAAGACTTAGACACTAGTGTTAATAAGAATGGCAGGCAGTGGCCAGAACCTGACAGGGTTTATTGGTCATGCTAAGGAGACTGGACTTTATAAAGCTGTCAGAGGGCCAGTGAAAGGTTTTCACCAGGGAATGGTTTTATCTTATTTGTGTTGTAGACAGGTCACTGCAGTGTGAAAAACAGTTTCAAGGGAAATAATATTAGAGGCAGAAAACAATTTAGGAATCTGTTTAGTTGTCCAGATGGAAGTTGATTGAGGCTTGAACTAAGGCAATGCGAATGGGATGAAGAAAATAGTCTGAAAGTACTTGGTAGGTATAATCTTTGGAACATAATGATTGGGTGTAAAGAATGAGAATAAAATCAATCAAGGATAGTATCTGGTGTTTTGACTATCTGGATCATTGTGCTAATTTTGAAAAACAGGAGGACAAGCAAATTTGGTTAAAATTAAAACAAAAAATAGTCATAACAGTAACAGCAAATAATAATGAACGACATTTATTGAGTTTCTATTATGTGCTGTCTAAGATTCCATTCTTATTATTTAAAATATCTACATGTAACATTATTCCAGTTAATGCTATAAACATTCTGAAAAATGGATACTACTTATTAGTCCCTTTTGACAGATGAGGAAATTGAAATGTAGCAAAGCTAAGTAACTTGACAAAACTCACAGACAATACCCTTAATAAACAGTGTCATCATTAGATAGCTAATAGTTTATTAGAATTGTTTCTTGAAACATCTTTAATCTATTGCTGCATAAAACAGTACCAAAACTTATTGGCTTAAAAAAATATCTCATACAGTTTCTGTGGTCAGAATTCAGGGGCTGTTTAGGTGGTTCTGGCTTATGGAGTCTCATGAGTTTGCAATTAAGATGTAAGCTAGGCTGATAATCATTTGAAGGGTTGAGTGTGACTGGAAGATTCACTTCAAGCTGGCTCACTCTCATGGCTGGTACATTGATGCTGGCTGTTGGCAGACGGCCTCAGTTCCTGCCCATGTGGACCTCTTCATAGGGCTGCCCAAGTTTCCTCATGACATGGCCACTGACTTCTCCAGAGTAAATGATACAAGAAATAAAATGACAAAGTTACAATGCCTTTTTATGTCCTAGCCTCAGAAATCACACTCTGCCATTTCTTCAATATCCTTTTGGGTACATAGATCAGCTGGATTCAGTGTGAGATGGGCATATACAAAGGTGAGCATCATTGGGTTCATCTTGGATACTGGCTGCCACATGTCCTTTAATCTGGTCGTCTGGCATTAAGTCATAGTATCTTTCTACAGTGTGGTCTCAACTCAGCTGATTTAACCCACAGATAGATTTTTAGAGACAAGCATGTACTCTATAGCCTTAGGCAATCCTCTATTAATATTGTATCTGTCAACCAAGCTTTAGTCAATGTTGAGTATCAAGAAATTTGACATTGTAAACCCTAACAAGTTCCTTGAGGCCAATCTACTTCTCTCGGTGGTTAACAGTATAGAAGACCTAGCATAAATGCTCTCTGCCTACTTCTAAATCTCATCTCATGCCACTCTCCACTTGATACATTCCAGGTTCACTGGTCCTTTTTCCTACCTTGGAGCCTTTGAATTTGCAGTTCCCTCTGCCTGGAATGCTTTCCCTGCTTCCTCACATTCCCCCCTCTCCCTGGGCCCATGCTTACTCCAGACTTCCGCTTCCAGATCACCACCTCAGAAGGAACTACTCTGCACACACAGGACTCCAACGGATCAATGGCCTCTCACAACTGGGAGCTCTGAGCTACAGACCTGCCATGAAGCAGATGAAAAGAAATCTGTTCAGCTCAGGAAAGCAGCTCTATTAGCATCCTGATGGGGAAGAAAAGGCACCATTTGTCATTGTTGTTATGATCAATAATAAAGAGAATTATTGCTACCATTTGTCAGTACTTAGATAGCATTTGTACCCTTGTCCTCATCTCCTTCAAGAATTCACTTGCATAAAAACAATAGTGCTTAAAAGGAACTTTACTAAAGATTTCAAAGGAAGAATGAGAAGAAAACAATTAGGAAAAAAAGTATCCTTTAGATATCCCTGTTTCAAAGCAACTTGTTTCATTGATCTGACATAGGGATATTTTATCCAGTGTTGTGCTGTAAATGTTTACCAACCAGCTCTTTGAAGGGCACGAAGGGCTCATTTGTAGAGTCACCAACTGCTGTGGTATACTCACATGTTTGATTTCATGCTACCAACATGATATCACTGAAGACAGTATTGGGAAGAGATGCTAATAATCGGCCCTTGGGGGCCAACAGGAGCTAGCTGCAGCATGCCTCAATACCCCTTCAACACCAACCTCATTGATTTTTTTCTTCTTCCTCACAGATTTACCTCATCTCTCAGCTCCTACTCATCAAACTTTGCATAGCCAAACCCTATCCATCATTCAGGGGAAAAAGGCCTTTATTTAACAGGACTCACCTTTCCTAGAAGGCAATATATTCTGATAGCAGAGCTTTGACCCTTAGGGTCTTAGTCTCAAGAAATATATCAAAGTATTTCTTCTAAACTCATTTACTAGATCACAAGAGTAATTCAAGAGAATGTAATTTCCCCTATCTCCTTATATATATGTCATCTCATTAATAATCCTCTATAACTGTCATTTGGGATAATATTATCTTAATTATCCAATTAGGAAATTGAAGTTCAGGGAGTTTAAAGGACTTGCCCAAGTTATAGGAAGTGGTGTATAACTAGAATTTGAAGCTAGGGCTGTATGACTACACATCTGAGCTCTGACTCCTTACCTTATAATAGGTACACCTGTGAATCCATTGCTGTGTCATCAAGTCCTAACTGGGAAGTATTGATAGAGGCATTTCTCAGTCAGCCACAGAGCCTTCCCAGGATGTCGCTGGAGAATTACATAATTAACACTATGACTCAAATAGTGTTTTAAATTCATAAAACTTTTCTTTTGTGTCAACTATGCACAAAACACAAAGCCAGGTAGAGTTGTGGATATAAATCTAGAACCTAAGACATTTTCAACATTTGTAGAAGAGCAATGAATAAGTTGTTTTAAGTCAAATCCCACAAAGGTGCTGCATCTTGGGGACAATCCAAGAAACTGGTAAATGTACAAAGTTTTAATATGTCAGGGGGATCCTTAGAAAATCAGAATTAAAACACTAAACTCAGTTTTGGGTGGCCAGCATCTATTGGCCCTTCCTCTGGTAAACAGTGCGCATTTTGCTCCTGGAAACCTGACCTCTTCAACTTTCAGTCCAGATGCTTTAGCTGATGTTCATTCTATGTTCTACTTACAAAGAGTTCATATTGGGTGAATTTTATGGTATATAAACTATATCTCAATAAAGCTGTTATTTAAATAATAGAATTCATGTGGCTCAGTTTCGCTAATTAGAATGTTACATTAGAATGGCTACAGTGAATTTGTTTGGGGTCAATTATGTAACCCGATCAAGCTAACAAAGAGAAGTGAAACTTTTGCTGGGATTGTTGAAAGGCACACCTAATAAATTTTTTTTATTAAATTGAACCTGGGAAGATGCTTTTACAGACAGTCATCTTGTTACCTCATGGAGCTAGAAAAAAAGACAAACTTTTTCAAGACAAGAAATTGAGATGGTATCCTGATGATGTTTTTGTTTAACCTTCCTTCCAATCCAGCATTGATTGAAGCAAGATCTTAACAAGATTTTTCAGTAGCAAAAGCCAATAACTTATTTTTCTTTATTTAAGCTAATTTTGATTGCAATTTTTGGTATTTGCGATTAAAAAGAAGTTCTTAAAAAATGATGAAAGAATTCATACTGGAATTGGAGTATAAAAGACACTAAGCTGTAGAATCATGCAAGTTAAGGGTAGTTTCGATAAGAGAAAGACCCCTCTTTCCTAGGCTGGAAAGTTTGTAACTCTTAACCTTAGGATGAAGTGCAAAACAGCTGATTAAATGACTATCCTGTATTTTATCTTGGGACTCAGATCATTTATTGACAAAAGATGGAATGTTAGAGAACATAGAACAGTGTCAGAATTTTAGGGTATGTTGGCTGTTTCTTGTGGCCCACTTGATGGTGCTGCAAAAGGAGAGCTTCAGGTGAAAGTGTAGGAAATCTGAAATCTAAGAACTAGCAACAATATTTTAAAATCACTCTTGATCCCATAGGTCCTATCCAACCACCTCCCTTGATGTACTTCTGCCTGACAAAGTGGGCAATTACCATTTACAAAAATGTGTCGACTGCAGATCTGAAGCAGATTAGCCTCATCTACCTGCCCCAGAACATCAGTTTGAATTACTCAAGACATATGTGGAGATGAAGGCATTAAGCTAAGAATTATTGAAGAACAACATAACACTGGAATCTGTCGCTAAAAAATGGAAGTCCATAGGTCTAGTTCTAGACTCAACTAGTTGTCCGGCTTTGGTTAGCAGCCCAGAGGATTGCATGGAAGCAAGAGCTAACCAAACTCCAAGTCTGGCAAAAAAAGACTAATGATTATTTTATCTCTAAAGCTCTTGCCACACTATTAGTAGCTAAAGAAGTGTAACCTCAGGAAATGAAATCCTCTCCAATATTCACCTTAAATGTGGCCATGGAGGAAAAAGAACCATTTTGGCTGGTGAAGAAACATGCTTCCCTGCCAAGGTTGATGACCTTGTTAGTTTTGTCCAGCAGTGTATGATGTATCCTATGGAATGGAGACCACTGTGTGTTCTTTTCCTATGCTTCCTTTTTCCAAAGATAGGTTTTTGGGAGATGGGTAACAAACACAAGATGATTGACAGATTGCAACTGCAATTTTATTCCTGATTCTGTTCCCCAGGCACTTTGATATTGGGAATAGAGTGTTTTGTTGCTTGCAGGCTATCGGGAAGCAGATGCTGTTGAAGTTAAGAGTGCAAAAATTTTATTATGGGGTGGTGGAAGAATCTACAGAATAAAACTGCATTATACTACTCTAAAAAATTTATTGAGAGTAAT